TGAGCCACCGCGCCTGGCCAAAAAATACACTTTTAAATAACGATTTGTCGCTGGTATTTAGAAACTTATGTGAACTTTTATACATTAATTTTGTATATAGTCACTTTGCTAAACGGTCCTAAGAATCTTAATAATTTGTAAGGCTGGGCATGGTACCTCACGCCTATTAATCCCAGCACTTTGGGAGGCTAAGGCAGGAGGATAACTTGAGGCCAAGAGTTCGAGACCAACCTGGACAACACAGTGAGACCCCATAGCAAGTCTCTACAAAAAAATTAAAAATTAGCCAGGTGTGGTGGAATGCACCTGCAGTCCCAGCTGCTTTGGAGGCTGAGGCAGGAGGATGGCTTGAGCCCAGGAATTTGAGGTTGCTGTGAGCTATGATTATGTCACTGCACTCCAGCCTAGGTGACATAGTGAGACCCTGTCTCTAAAAAAAAAAAAAAAAAAACTCCAATAATTTGTAGATTGATTCTTGAATCTTTAATTACACACATGCATCATCATGATACAAGCAAAAAAACCTAAGCAACTCTTCTTCTGGAAACCAAACACCGTGCGAGGGACGCTGTGGCGGCTCAATCTCCCCGCACAACTGCAGTGACTGCCTTTAGAGAGATTCCCAAAGGCGGGTCGAAGGGGCGTGTTTTACCATTCAGCGGAACCACTGCGCCTGACTGCGGTCGCACACTTACCTTCCCGGCACTTGCTGCACTTGTCGCAGTAAAGCCGGCTGTTGTCATGGGCCATGTAGGTGTCAGGCCCACAAGGTGTGCAGTCTCCTTGGCTGTGGTTCGTACGGCAGTGTCCGCTGACATGGTGACCTTCATGAGAGGTGGGACAGTGGTGAGGCAGGGGACCAGCGCAGACCCAACCTGGGGACCCAACATCTTTGGGACATTCTAGACTGATGCCCAGCCACAGTCCCCCGATAAACTTAATGTGTCTGCGTCCAGGAACTGAGCACCTGAATCCCCCCTTGGCTTTTTCCGACGTCCTGCAGCTCGTGCAAACAGATGGTTTCCAGCCTGCACGCTGACCCACCTGAGCGCTCGCAGGTGCCTGTTCATCCGCCGCCCCCCAGCTCCTAACTACCTGGGGCAGGCTCAGCGGCTCCCAGGGGCCGATTTAATAGAGGGAGGTTGAAGGTGTCAGAGTGCAAGTGTCTGCCCAGGTCCGAGACGGAGCTCCTAGTCCAGTGCTCATCTCGTAAGGGCTTCAGCAGAACCACAGCAAAGCTGGCCACTGAGCCTGGTCAAAGCCTCCCGGGGAAGAGGCCTAAGCGCCTGCACCTGCCCACACGCTGCCTTCAGAGGGCTTCATGTTGGGCCATGATGTTGCAACAATTCCTGAAACGTCGCTTGTGCAGGTGTACATGCATAGATGTGTCTGCAGATGTGCACATCTAGGCGTGTGACAGTGCGTGTACGTAGTGACGTGTGCATGCATAGACTCATGTGCGGGTCAGTGTTTAGGTGTGCATGCAGGTGTGTGCAGATGTGTGGGAAGGTGGGCGGGGGTGAGCGGTCCAGGTATGGGTGTTTGGTCCCTGAACCAGACGCCTCATAAAGGCACGGGCTGGTGGATAAAACGTGGGGCATGTGTGTGTGTGTGCGTGGATGCGCGTGCGTGTGTGTGTGGACGCGTGTGCAGGCCTGTGCAGGGGCGGTGGCGAGCAGTGAATATGGCGGCCGGCCTCTGAGTGGTTCCCAGGAAGGCCCAGGTGCTGACGGCAGTGAGAGGTGGGGTGGCCGGAGCCTCTGGCTGCTCACCGGCTATAAGCGGCAGGTTCCATCTCAGAGCACCCTCCCAGGAGAAACTGAGCCACCTGCTCACCAGGAGCCTCCATCTTCAGACACGTCTGCGCTTTTCCCAACAGGAGGGCAGATGGGAGCCTCCAGCCTGGGCTATGCCCCCCACTTCTGTCCTCCGAGCCCCCCAGAACACAGCCTGCCCACTCAGAGCAGGCCCTGACCCCTCTCTGTTCACCCTGGTGCTCCCCACAGCCCCAGGGGCAGAGGAAAGCCCCTTCCAGGTGGGATGGGAGGGCAAACAGAGGGGGCTCCGAGGAGAGGCCCACCCACCCTAATCAGCCAAGTTCTCCCACCCAGGGTAGTTTCCAGGTATGCCCTAACTAAACGCCTGAGGCCTCCCTTCTCCCAGGTTGGAAGATCAGCCTGGAAGGCTCTGGAAGGTGTCCTGGGACTTACCCGCTGGGCAGAGTTTGCAGCAGAGGTTCTCAAACAGGTACATATCTGGGCCACATGAGGTCTCACTGGTGGCCAAGGTCACCTTCAACCAGAAAGGGAGACAGGCGTTATTGAGAGAGGCCCCTGTGGCCGGTGCAACCGCACCTGTCCTCCACGTGCGTCTCAGCACAGAGGAGGGTGCTGGCCACCTGCCAGCTGAACACCGGTCCCTCCTGCAGTGGCCTTCCCTGGGGAAGCACGTGCTGGGACTTTTTCTTATGCTCCTCTGTACTGCTGGACTTGTAGTAAGGAGCAGGTAGGTATTGTGTTGGGGGAATACGATCTTTTTTTTTTTTTCATTTTTCCTTTTCCTCGAGTGCTTAGCAGTGAGACGGGGGAGCATGTTCTTCGGTTTCCGATCACATGTGGTCGTGCCAACTCTGCACGGCTGCTGTCTAGTCTACCCGCACGGCCAGAACCACACCCTGTCGGGCAGCGATCCTCGGGAATTGAGTAAACACCTGTTTTGCTCCAGTACGTAGCTGATTTGTTCAGCAGGTGCATATACACTTTGTCGAGAAAGCATATTGTGCATCAGTCAGGAACTGGGACCTGAGAGTTTGTGTGTACCTGTGCGTGCATATATTTCGTGCACCTCGTATATGTGGAAGGGCCGTATACCATACACATGTGTAAAAAATCAGAACCACGTAATTGACAGGCAGTTTTATAGAACATAAGTACCTCCGATACAAGAATGACTGTCATCTTCTCTAGGACTCGTTCCTTTCCCTACCAACGCTTTCTAGCTTGAGTTCTCGCGTCTGACTTTGAAAACCTCTGCTGCCGTCCTTAGGTGAGCACGTGCCTGGCACCTGTCTTCCCGACCTTTCGCTGTCCCACACCTGTACTATTCCCTGTGTGGGTACAGCTCTTTAAAGTGTCACGTCACTAGATCTATCTTTCTAATTCAACCTGATAATTAATGACTTTAACCTACTTGTATGTATTGGATTACTACAGTATTTGGCTTTATTTCTACCATCATATTTTGTGGGTTTTTTTTTTTTTTTAGACAGTCTCTCACTCTGTCGTCAGGCTAGAGTGCAGTGGTGTCATTATAGCTCCCTGCGACCTCCGACTCCTGGGCTCAGGCGATCCTCCTGCCTCAGCCTCCCGAGTAGCTGGGACTACAGGCATGCGCTGCCACACCTGGCTAATTTTTCTATTTTTAGTAGAGACGGGGTCTCGCTCTTTCTTGCTCAGGCTGGTCTCGAACTCCTGAGCTCAAAGGATCCACCCACCTTGGCCTCCCAGAGTGCTGGGATTACAGGCATGAGCCACTGCACCCAGTCTTATTTTATGCTTTTGACATCGTACTTTCTCTGATTTTTTTTTGTTGGCCTCTTTTCTGGCTTTGCTTTCCTTACTCCTGTGTTCCTCTCCCAACTTTGTTTTCCCCATTCTCCAGAGAACCTAAATAGATTTGATTTTTAGTTTTTAGTCATTTACGTTAACTTATCGGAAATGAAGTAAAAAGTAACGGGGGGAAAAGCATTTAGATAGGTTCAAAGAAGAAAGCCCAGCTTGCAAACACCACAGTAAAAACAATCTCAGGCAAGAATCGTCAGTGATGCTGGCGTTAGAATATGAAATTGGAGGGAAAACAGAATACTTAGTTTCAAAGCAACTCTCTACAAGGTACTTAGTAATTACGAAGGGGCAATACAGTAACTACAACAGAGAAACCTGGCAACATCAGCTGAACTAAATGATCAAAGTCAACACCCCCAGTAAGGGACCGAACAATATCATGTGTCCAGTGATATTAACGCAGCTAAAAGGACACATCACTGTTGGGGTATTCTTGCCAAAAAACACGTAACAGAAATTTAATTACAAGGACTCGTCAAACGCAAATTGAGAGACATTCCGCGACATGATCAACCAGTACGCAAAGGCATCAAGGTCATGGAAGGAAAGACAGACTGAGGGAGTGTTCCGACCTACACACCCAAGGACCTCGGCGGTCAGGTGGCGGACCGCGAGGTGTCTGCATGTGTCAGCCTTCACTTCCCTGCAAGGCGTCATCACCTGTGGAATCTGGGGGACAGCTGTGGGAGGTCTTTGTGCTATTTTAATTTTGCTTTTTGTAGAGTGTTGGGGTTTTAAAAATTGAGATAAACTTCACATAACACGAAAGTAACCATTTGAAAGTGTAGAGTGGCATTCAGTACATTTGCACTATTATGCCACCATTGGGATGATTTTGGTAACTTTTTAAAAGTTATTTCAAAATGAAACTTTTAAAATTAAAAACCTTTGAAAAAAAAGAAATCCAGAATCTCAGACCAGAGGGAGGCAGCTGCCCTGTCACTGGGACCTGCCCACCAGGACACACGAAGGCTACTTTCTCACCCACTGGGTCTCCCCACCTGACTGCCACGGCCCTCCCAGATGTCCCCTCGCTGTTGGGCCCCCTTCCTCACCCCACGCAGCCACCTGGAGGCCTCCATCTGAAGCGCCCACTCTGCCGCCAGCTCCCCTCGCACTTTAAACTCTGCCCACTAGTCCCTCATCCTCCGGAGGTGGGCAAGGGAGGCCGGGTGGCCTTGGCTGTGGGGCTGGCAGCCCCTGGCACCACCTAAGGCCTCCGTTTCAGCTTTCCGACGTCCCAGGCCCAGGGCAGGGGCAAAATGTCAGGGGACGCCAAAAACTCAGCACTCAGGATACACAGTATTTAATGGCGTTCTAAACAGTCCAAATCCGCAGACTGCCATCAGCTTCGTCAATGTTTTATTGCAAGCGGGCCGGGACTGGTGCACGAGGCAGGGAGCGCAGCGGTGCAGGTGCGGGGTCCAGTCCCCCACCTCCTGAGTTGCTGCCTTTTCAAAAAATGTTTCCATTGTTTTCCATCATGCATTTTTAGCATGGATTTCTCATTTTTAAAAATACCTCATGAAAATATTATCTTGATTCTTGAGTTTTTTTGGAGACCCTGCTTGCCTCCTGTGGCCCCTCCCTCACAGAAGACCCAGGGCGCCCCAACTTACCACCCATGGCCCAAATCCTGCCAGCACAGCCCCCAACCCCATGGGGCTCCCAGCCTGGGGTCCCCCTCCTGGCCCTGGCAGCCCCTTCTCTCTGCTACCCGCTCAGGGCTCCCTCCAGCCCCTTCCCTCTGGCCCCAGGACATCCCTAAAGAACCACCCACGAGACACCAGATGCCATGTGGGAATCACAACCTCTTGGCCTTTGTGGACCCCCAAAAGGCCCAAGAGAGGAAGCCGTGGAGAGCCTGAAAAAAGCTGGGGGCTTCAACAAGCAGGAAGCCACCAATGTGATGTGAGTGGACTGGTTACCAGGGCAACTCCGCCAACATGTATCACCACATGGGACAGGCAGGAGGCCCATATCCACCGGGACGAGGCGGAGTACCCCGCGGCTACAGAATCAGGAAGCTGAGTGGGGTGTGAGGAGGGAGGGCCGGGTAAGGAATCGTGAACCGGCCAAGACTGCTTGCAAATGGCTCCAGGAGGGGACCCTGAGAACCGAGAGCTCAGCGCTGGGCGGCAGCAAGGCAGGGGAGGGCAGGCTGTGGGCTAAAGCCAGAGGGTGCACGTACGGAAGGTCCTCGAGGGCTGGAAGCAGCAGGAGGCAGGAAGGAAGACGGAAGTACCTGAAGAAACAGACCTGTCTCTCCACACCCAGGGAGGGCTCTCTGCATCACGCTTCCCACCGGGCCTTGCAGGGGCCAGGCCTCTACCTCCCATCACCGGCAGGACTTCCCACTTCGCCGGGCACAAATGGTCCCGATAAAGGGAGCTACAAGCAACCAGTGTGGCGGGGAGGAGAGAGACCAGGAAAGAACAGTAAGACGGCCACACTGCCTCCTTGCGACCCTGCAGTGCAGCAGAAGCCCGCAGCCATGTGGCTTCCGCAGCCTGGCAAGTACGTACGGGAAGCACGGCCACGGGGCCGGCCACATCCCAGGTGTCACGCACGCACCACCCGAAGCAGAGAAACACCAGGACTGGAACAGACCAAAAGTTATTTAAAAGTGCTAAGAACAGGAGAGGGACCATTTTCACGTGAGAAAAATATCAGTGCTGTGGACATAGTGGCTTCAGGAAAACTCAGCAGTGCCTTGGGGGTGGGGAGTCTGTCTCCCCGGGCTCAGGGCCAGTGGGAAGGAGAGAACTCACACACGGTACCGCGGTGAACACCCCACTTCCACCCACATGATTTGAGATCAACAGGAAATCGGTTGTGTGGTAATCACACCTTGTCCGCTTTCGGAAACGTGTGGTGACGCTCACTATGATGATGTAATTTCGGGGAATAATAACACCAGAAAAATGTTGATGGTTTGGGGAAAATGGGGAACCAGGCTGTCTATCTGTATGAAACCGTTTCTATTATATACGAATGCCAGACAGCAGGAAAAATGGGTTGAGTCGATTTGCAGCCAATAAAACCCCCCTCCCCCCACTTCCTCCCGGCGGCGCAGCCTCCCGCGCGCCCCCTACCTGCGCCAGCAAGTCCCCAGCGGGCCACCAAGCACCCCCCCCAAGCAGGGCGCGGGGCCCACGAGGCTGCGCCGGCTCAGACGGACCGGCCCGCTCGGGTCCCGGCGCTCGGATCCCCGCGCCCGGCTCGCAGCGGTCCCCGGCGGCCGGAGCGCACTCACCGACCCGGGCGGCAGCAGCAGCAGCAGCAGCAGCAGCAGCAGCAGCAGCAGCACGTGCGCCGCCATGGCTCGCAGCCGCACGCACTGCCCGCCGGCGGAAGCGGGACTGCGGCGGCGCGGGGCGGGGAGCGCGCACGCGGGCTGCTGGCTGGCCGCCTGCCAGCCTCTCACCGGCGCCCCGGGCCCTCCTCCGCCTGTGGAAGCGTTTCCTCAGTCTGTGCCCTCCTGTGCACCCAGTGTCCCTGTCAACGGGGAAAAGGCCAAACTCTGCGAAATAATTTGATTTACTCTGAGCCAACTCTGAGGATCATGACCCCGAGCCGCGCCCAAGCAGCCTTGAGCAAGTGGACTGGCTGTGGCTGGGTGGCAGGTTGGTTTTGTACATTCCAGGAAGAGAGGAATTACACATAAAGTCACAAATCAATACGTGGAAACGTCCATTGGTTTGGCCCGGAAAGTTGGGACATCTCCAGGAGGGGCGGGGCTTACAGGTTATGGGTGGGTTTAAAGATTCTTTGACTAGTAATAGGTTAAAGACAGGAAGCTTTGTCTAAAGGCGTGGAATGTTTCAAGATCAGGAGCTGTTCATCAGAGTTTTCTCTCCTGCCACCCTGGCTCCACGCGGTTTGGGCACCTTTGTCTAAAGGGCCACAGGACCTGCCAGTCTGTGTCAGGGTCCGTGGAGGGCTTGTTGCCACTCCGGGCTCCGCCAGGAGGTGAGCTCAGGGTCTCTAGGCAGAGCAGACCGAGGCCTCCGCCTCCCTACTGCTCCCCAGAGCAGGTGGGTGTTGGGTGGAGCCTGCTGGGGAGAAGGGGTGACGTTAATTGCGTGTGACAATGGGGCTGGGTCGTGGTGCCCAGATACGGGGTCAAGCGTTATTCTGGGTGTCTCAGTGAAGGTTTTTTTTTGTTTTTTTTGTGGGTTTTTTTTGGCTGAGATTAACATTTAAATAGGTGGACTTTGAGTAAATCACATGCCCTCCATAGCACGGAGGCCTCACCCAGTCCACGACAGACCTGAAAAGAAGGAAGACTGACCTCCCAGGGCAAGAGGGACTCTTGCCGCAGACAGCCTTGGCCTCGACCACACCGCGGGCTCTGCCCTGGGTCTCCACCCGCCAGAACGCCCCGCACACTTGCCAATAATCGCTTGGGCCAATTCCTTAAAATCTCTCTCTGACTTTGTCTGTCTCTCGTTCTATTTCTCTGGACACCCTGACTCGTAGCCCATCGTGAGAGCAGGAGGGGCTGTGATTGAGCACGGGGGTTCGGGGGGGCCTTAGCTGCAGCAGGAGGGAGGACATAGGCGTGTCTGTCTCCTATGAGAGCAAGGGAGGGGGAATTTAGATTTCAGGCTTTGAGGCAGGAGTTGGGGGAAGTTCCCACTGGGGGCGTCTCTTTCTTCCATGCCATGCTGCGGGGAGCAGTCCCCTGCTGGGGCCCGAGCAATGTGGTTATTGCTTTACGGAGTGCCCCCCACGAGCCACACACTGTACAAGGAAACGAAGTTCCGCAGCAAGCAGGCCCAGCCCTGTCTCAGTCCTTCGGGAGCTGACAGTCCCCGAGGGGTCACCCATATTCACTGCCCGAAGGGCTGTTAGACCCACTGTCCCCGCAACCAGGAGGGCCCCCTGCGACGGTCAGTTCTGCGTGTCCACTCGGCCAGGCCACGGTGCCCAGCTGTTGGTCAAACTCCAGTCTGGGCGTTGCTGTGAAGGTGTTTTTCAGACGTGATTAACGTTTAAATCAGCGACTCTGAGTGAAGCAGGTCACCCTCCATTGGGTGGGCCCCACCCAGTCAGCTGGAGACCTCAGAGCAACACTGAGGTTTCCTGGGGAAGAAGGGCCGGGCCTCGGGCCTGCAGCACGGAGACCCCGCCTGGCTTCCCGCCTGCTGGCCCAACCCCACAAAAGCGTGAGCCAGTTCCTCAAAATAAGTCCACCTTTCTGTCTATCTCCGTGTCTCTGTCTCTGTTTGTCTCTGTCTGTCTTTTTCTTTGGGGAATAGTAATACCCCTGTACCCTGAAAGTGAGTGGGGGGGTCTGAGGGCACTGGAGTTGGTTGCAGAGTCTGATAAGACAGGCCGGGGAAGGTGACTGCCAGGCGGTGCTGGGGTCAGCCGAAGTTACCCCAAGCACGTGCGCAATAGTGTGCAGCAGCCCAGGTGGGTGAGGGGCGGACTCTGGCTTGGATCCCGAGGGGTGGGTTTGGCCCTGCAGTGCCGGGATGAAAATGGGCGAGGGAGCCCCAGAGAATGTGAGAGAGCGTTCCCGGTGCTGGACCCAGGGCTAGGGGCCGAGCAGGGGCCGGGGCAGGAGCCTGGCTGAGGGCTGGGGCTTGGGCTCCCGGCCTGGAAGCCCGAGGCGGCCACAGGACAGAGGCAGAGAGGACATGTGTGGGCACGCTGAAGGGTGGCAAAGGCAGGGTCGGCCTCCATGGGGAACACGTGGGCTGTGGGTGGGGCTGGCAGGCTGCTAGGGAGAGCTGGCCTCACCGGCAGGAGCAAGTGCCAGGAAGGCATCGAGCCCCACCCCGAGTTGAGAATAAATTCCTGTGTCTTTAAGTCAGCCAGTTCATGGTGTTTGGCTACAGCAGCCACAGGAAATAAATGCACCCACCGTTCTGGTTTGCCTGGGACACTGGAATTTCAGTGCCCAAACTGAGAAAGTCCCGGGAGAAGCCAGGCAGTTGGTCCCTGATGGGTGCCCTGGCCTTGAATTTGAACCTGGCATCTGGTGTGTGCAGAAGCCGGCATTGCAAGGGGCCGTCTGTAGGCCGGTCGCTGGGCTGTGGGTGGCGGTGTTGGTGTTCATGGTGCAGCCTAAGTCTTGCTGTTGGGGGGAGCAGCCTGCAGGGCCCAGGTCGTGGGGCGGCAGGTGGCATGCAGGCGTGGGGTCCACGCCCGGCCTGCTTTGCAGTGTGAGCCTGAGCGTTGCTGTCACTGAGGGTCTCCAAGCCTGAACTCCTCTCAGTTTTGCCAACTGCTCAGTAGCACCTTCGTGAACTCTGCTTACCAGTCGCTAAGGAAGCTGTGTTTACAGCCTCACGATGCAATGAGGGGCCTCTCTCAAGGCAGCACAAGACCAGGTCCTCAGGGCGCAGCCTCAGCAGGGTTGCCAGGCTCACGCCTTCAGCAGCGGGAAGGGTGCCAGGCCTGTCCTTGCGTATCTTGGCTGACAGCAGCCACGCCTGCCAGGCAGGACTTATACAGAAGGAACCAGCTGTTGCCATCCTGTCTGACCCCCTAGAGCCAGGGGGTCACGGGTTGGGGGGTGAGCAGGGTCTCCCTGACCAAAGCTCTCTTCCCAACTCCAGAAGACGCTGTGATCACCAGGATTTCTGAGTCCTTCTCTGCCCATTTTGCAGATGAGAAAACTGAGGCTGAGAGAGTCCAGGACTCGATTAGCTGTGGAACCAGAACATAAACTGCCTCACTTCTTTTTTCTGGCAGAGAGAGGAGGCTGCTCAGGAACCCCCCCTCTGCCGTGAGCTCTGTAGCCACACCCCCGGCCCTGTCCGCATCCCTGCCTTTCTCTGCAGCCTGGTCCCCTGAGAGCACCAACACAAGTCACCAGACATGATAGGAACGAATGAGTCACAACTGCCTGACAATAGCCTTTGGCCCTTTGGCAGTAGAGCAGGTTTCCTTTAGGAATTCCAGCAGACTGGGCTTGGGGAGGGGCCATTAGCACCCGAAAATCAGTCTTGGCAGGGAAGGAGGAGGCGGCAAGATAATCAGATCATTTGAGGAGACAGTGAAAACTCTGAGAAGCGTGCTCTGCCCCTTCGCGACGGCAGGGCGGGACAGGACAGCACGGAGGCTACTGGGGTGCAGCTGGGGCGGATGGCAGAGATCTGGGAGGGGCTCCTATAGGAATTTTTGTTGTTTTGTATTGTTTTTGCCTCATATGTCCCCTACGGGTGCCAGCAAAGCCAGCAACTCTGAGATACCAACAGGCGAAGACAAAAGAAGCCAAGGAAAAGCCTTTTCTTTCCGGCACAGGCCCAGGGAAGGGGGTCTAGGGGGACAGAAAGCTTGGAGACAATATCCACCATGACCTCTCCGTTTCTCCCAGGCGTAGGGAGTGTCCATGGGGACCAGGTTGGGGGTGGCGTTGAGGTGACCCTCCCTGTCCCGGGCAGGGGGCGTTAGTGGATCTGTACAGCAGCCTGAGCTCCCACCCCCGCCCTGCCCAGTCGCGAGAAGGGTCCCCTCTGTCCCCACAGATGTCGCTGTGGGTCCCGTGGGAACCTGGACTCCACCTCCACCTGGCAGTGACGAGGCAGGGCCCCCCTTCGCTCCCATGAGCGGTGTCAGAGGAGGCTGCAAACACACAAGATTTAAATAAGACACTGAGTCTCAAAACATTTTACCCAAAATGTCCAGCATACGATAGAAAAAAATTACTTGTACCAAGAACCAGGAACATCTCGACTTGAATGAGAAGAGGAAGTGAACAGACAAGCACAGTGTGGTGACACGGGTGTTAGAGTTGTCCCCCAGGGGCACTGAAAGAGCCGTGGTAAAAAGCCGCGGTGGGGAGGCTCAGGCAGGCCTGCAACAAGCGCGCAAACGGGGAATCTCAGCGAAGACATAAAGCAGAGCCAACGGAGATTACAGAGTTAGAAATAACTGAAATTTCAAACGAACTCAAAGAACAGACCCCAATGCGGATAGAGAAAATATTTACGGCAATTTTATTATAATCTGGGAGGTTAAAGGGAGGCAAGCTTTCTGCACTTGACTCAAACCAGTAAAATGCTGACACCACGGGACTGTGGAGCTTACATAAATCGAAGGCGTTAAGAACAACCGGCCACCCCAGAATGTGCCACCAGCACATGGACTATCTTGAGTTAAAAGCATTGGAAAAACAGTAGGTGCAAGAGGATCACACTGACCTTCTGTTTCTTTCTTTTCTCTTTTGAGACAGGGTCTTGCTCTGTCGCCCCTGCTAGAGTACAGTGGTGTCCTCTTAGCTCAGTGTTGCCTCGAACTCCCTGGCTCAAGCGATCCTCCTGCCTCAGCCTCCTGAGTAGCTGGGATGACAGGCACGTGCCACCA